GGGAGCAGGGGGTGGGGCTTGTTGCATGAGCCCGCCCCCTGGGCTGCTTACTGCCGGAGCTTCGCTCCTGTGCGCTCCTGCAGGAAATGACCCCTGCCAGTTGTTTTGTGGCACCAAAGCATCCTCCTCTGTCTCTCTCTCTCTCTCTCTTGGCAGAACATCAGGGGTGCTATCAACCTTGCAGGGCTGGTTTTCAGGTTGGTAGCTGTGTTGGCCTGCAGAAGATGAGCAAGATCTGAGTTCAGTCACACCTCAGAGACCAAGGACCTATCCAAGGCATAAGCTTTCGAGAATCAAAAAGGGGGCTTTGGTTGCGGTCACACGCGCCAGAAAAAATGGGAGGGGGGACATGAGGCTATTTCCTCTGGAGGAATTTGACCCCCAGTTGCACGATCACACCTCCCTTTGAAGCTGGAGATCTTCAAGTTTCTCCTGGTGGCCGGCAACCCTAGCCACCATACGAGACAGCTGTAATCAGGCCCCTTTTTGGCTTCAGCTGCCCCCACATCTGTATCATGGAGAGCAATGGCTGACCTTGCAGGGCTGTTGTGTAAGGACTTTATCCGAATCCAGTACACGTACTGCTGTGAACTTCTAGCCTGCTTCGCCCTCCCCCAAGCCCAAAAAAGCAACTCATGCTTAGTGAGCTAGAAGCATGACTGTAAATGACCATAGAACCAGTTGTTCGTCATCACACACACCCCCAACCACCGTGTGAGCTCATCTTTTTCCAGTTGCCTCACTGAGTATTTTTAGAGGCAGGCGCTCAACACCACAGTCTCTCTGGCCTCGTCCCCTGCCTGTTTGCAAATTGCAGCATAGTTCACATGGGCAGAGAGAGGAGGATCCCAGGAGCAGCTGACCAGGCAGGGTTGGTACATATCGACTCCCTGAGTCACCGAGATGAGGAACTCCAGAGGGAGGAGAGGACTTGGAAACATCCAGGTACAGCGACCTGTCCCTGGCACATCAAAGGCTGGCCGTGCTTTGTCACGCCAGCGAAGGAGGTGCAAAATAGGAAATTCACCCTGAAAGGCAGTATTCAAGTCCAGTAGCATCTTAAAGATCCACCAAGATTTCCAAGGTGGAAGCTTTCCTGATTCAAAGGCTGCGATCATACGCACAATTAGACCCAACATAGGTGTGAATGCCGGGTGGATTTAAAGGGCACGATCAGGGCTATTTTGGGGCA